TAGTCTCATTATAGGAATCAATAAACACGGACACTTCATCATTTGTTAACCACATATTCAAGATATATTCATGGAGTCCAGACCATAAACAAGCTCATATTCCTATTGATAACCCTTTTGGAACACGTATGCGTTTATCGGCATATGAAACCTAGAAGAAACAAAGAGTGTCCGTGAACTTCATTCAATCAGACCTCAATGAAATGAGGTAACAAGGGACTGATATCTCGGATACTCCGCAGAACCTATAAAAGTGGTCTAACCTCTGGCGTGTACTATAATCAGTACAGTCAGAGGTAGGTCAACGCCTATGCGAAAACGACACGCAATATTTGTGAGAATTATCTTTTTTGCATGACATCCTTATCACTTTCTGAGGGGAGCGTTTTTACTCATGGAGGAGGAGAGCAATTTTACCGTTTGGTAATGGAGTAAATTCGCTCCTTTCCCAGAGTAAAAGGGGGGTGAAACTGGAGTTAGCTATTTTACTCTCTTTTTTGAGAAAAATAGCTCCCCTTTTTCTAAGAGTGTACTCCTGGGATGGTGCTTGTCAGGGGAACTGGCGATGGTCTTGTCAGTCATAGAAGAGTTCACTAACACAATGTCTGAAATCATAGGAACAGATGGCGATGTGTCAGTCATGGTAGGGTTTGACCCCACAAAGTCTGACAGAGTAGAGTTGGACAGCATAAGATTAGACAGGACAGAGTTGGACATGGAAGAGTCAGAAAGGACTGAGCTGGACAACACAGATTCTGAGAGGACTGAGCTGAACAACCCAGACTCAGTCCGTAGATTGGACAACTCAGGGTCAGGCTGCTTAGTCATGGGCAAGTCTGGGTATGGCAGCACAGAGTCGGGTGACACAGGTTCACATAGGTTGCCCAGCGTACTGTAGAGGCTAGCAGTGACACAGAATCTTATGTGACAGTGTTGGGCAGTGTGGTGATGGGCTGCACTGAGGTAGGCTGCAGAGGGTGGGACAGTCTAGAGTCAGTTAGGGCAGGGTAGGCCAGCTCAGAGTCAGGTAACTCAGTGTCACAAGGGATAGGGCCATCTTGATCTAGAAGCTCCTGGACACTTTCCAGTAGTGAGATCAAGTGGGTCGTCACAAAGGCCTGGCTACTGTGACCTTGAATCAGGAGGGTTCCAGTTGTGTAATATAAGTGTAGGGTTAAGCACTTGGCTTCAGTAGGATCTGATGTAAACACTACTACAGTAGTCTGGTAGAGATTGCCAACAGAGATTTCTTTTGTCACATCACAAGCTTCGTCAATATCTACTGGGGTTCTTGCTTTGTTTCTGTCGCACCGGATTACAGAGAATGCGTCGTCGAGTCCCAGATCGTTATAGAACCTCCACAAGACTGCTTTCCTCACTAAAGGGCTTTGAATCGTTTTAAATTTGACAGTGAACTGGAGAGGGTCTCTTTTTCGGGAGACCGTAACGCAAGAAAACTTGCTGAAGTTTTCAAGAGAGACGTTTTGAGTAGGCGCTATCCCGGCGGCCATCTTTCAGGTCTCTTCTTCTTAGGCCTTCTTCTTGTTAGGCCTATGTTGGTACGAATACTACTGCCTCCCATACCTTCTAGGATGTTTCGTGGTAATAATTGGATCTTGTGATGGACAAATTTATGAGTAGAAAGCATTTGCTATCGGAATTGGAAGCTTCTGTTAAAATGCAGTGATGTTTTCAGTCACTGTATCATTTTTCAGAGGCTTTGGACAAGACTAGAAGTGGCTGAAATGTCGTTGCAACATTGGAAAAATTCCCTATTTTCTTTAGCCAGGGATTCCAGGAGCGAAAGACACTCAAATTTTCGTCTTTACTACCGTCCGTGACTGTAGTAGAGTTCAGTTTTAATGGCACTGTCACTGAGGCACCATGTTATGAAGCACATAATGTGTACGTGTTCGCAATGTCATGACCCACTTTCCTTTTATCTCTCGTAAAACTTCCCACAATTCTTGTCTCAACGTACAGCCAGTCCCTTATGCAACTAACACCACTTTTGAATTCGCTTTGGTGTTAACCTTTAGAGATTAGTGCAACACCCCATAATGAAGTATGGGGAATCCCTTCTACATCAAAGCCGAACTGGGATTGAGATGGCATTTCGTGTTTAACCTGGTGTTACACCGGCGTGAAACACCGACAAATCATGGTGCTACACCAACTCCACAGGGCGAGTTCAAATCTGGAATTAACGGGTGGAGTTCGTGTTACACGGAACACTAACACGGAACACCAACACCGAATTTGAACTCGCTTAATGCCACTGCGGAAGCTAATGTGGCTATTTTAAATCTGATAGGTGAGCCGGCGATAGGTTACCCGGAGTGTCGGCAAACCGAAATGGGGAAAGACTACGTGGGGACACAGAGGAGGACGGAGACTGGAAAGTCTTGTCTCCGATGGGATACATATGCATCCAACTACTCAAAGACTGGCGAATTCGGCCCGATGACATCCTATGGCAATCTTTTCCGATTTGGAGACCCGAAATGGGATCAGGACTTTTGCCGGAACCCGACGTTGAAGGAGCGACCATGGTGTTTCGTCGATAAGCCGGGAATTACTTTTGAGTTCTGCAACATCCCCCTCTGCCCCAACTACCCCAGTGAGCTCATTCTAAGAAATGAACAACTTTCCATAGAGGGGTAAATGGGTGACCAAAGGGTCGCAAAGGAGAGATACTCGAAAAAGATACGTGGTTTCGATGCAGAAAATAGTCAATGTCACGATTTCAAAAGAATGATGTAAGTGACGAGCCATGAATGCAATAGAAAATGAAATTGCACATGGAAACGGCACCGCATATATTTCCCACTTTATTAGCTTCGGATCGCATGCACGCTAGAAATTAATCAGTCAATTCTGGAGCGCATGGTGGCCTGAGTTACGTGCTATTACGGTGACAGTCTTCGTCAATGACAAATCACCCATATTCTTTTTAAAAACATCTGTTTTACATGTAGACATTATACTTTTTCATGTAAATATTTCCTTCCCCGTCAAATCCAGCATCACTCTCAAAGTAAGATCCGTGAGGTCATAGACGCTGCCTCTAAATGCGTCCAATAAAGAATAATCTGGCAGGCTATTGATCCCTAGGGTACATCATGCAAGTCTCTTTCGTCTTCCTTGTGAGGTAAATTTATCTTCGGGTGAAAATTATTTTGTTCTGCTTGCTTGAAGTTAATTTTTGAGAAAAGTGCAAAAGCAACTTCCGAATTACATTGCATAAATACTAGTGAATCTTCATGAACATACACATAAAAGACTTAAGCAGCCCCTTTCTCCTTCTCTAGCCCCATCCCATGACGAAATTCAACTTCCTCTTGCACCTCATGGGGAACGCAGCTAGATAAACGAAATTTTGAATAGTTCCAGCAAATTTGACATTTCGGTTCCCCAGGGGTACGGGAACACTGATTCTCGCTTTTAAAAGATGTGAATTTCTTTCGCTGTATACCTTCATACCGACTGCGACTAAGTAACTGACCAATTGAATTATTGACGCTAATTCTAACTATGTTTTAGATGAGGTAGGAACGTGAGACTTGGTACATAGGTGCCTTTTAACATGATATTATGAAGGGAAAAAATTAATTGTAGTTCATTTAGTCTTACCGCGGGAGTTACGGTCATGCTCGCCGTTGCTGCCGGATATCCGCCTTGAATTATGCTGGATTAACGACTGCCTCCGCCTTGGTATCAGTGTTCGCTATTTTAATGCATGATACTCCTTTTCCTGAGTTCATGAGCTGAGATTGAAGCAATAGTTGGCAGTGGCCTATCTATTCGATGGGATATGCATGGAAATTCCAAAATAATCAGAATGGCGTACAGCATGCATTTCAATCCAGGAACATTTTCTCTTCAGACGTCGTTAAGATGATTCGAGGAACTCGACATAGCCTGAAAGTTACACGTTCGCATTGAAATGACTCGTGGACCTCGAAGCAGGCCTCTAATCGATCTAACGTCACACGTCCTCTCTGAAATAGGTCTTGAAAGACGGAGAGTGGTCCTGCAATAGGCCTAACTTTACACGTCTTCATCAGATTTCTTCAAGACCTAGGGATTAACCTTAACTGGACGAATTGGTTCCGTAAGTCCAGAGGTGAGATCCTTTCTTACGAAAATTAGTAGACCTTGGCCTGATACGAAGAAAGTATAAGGAGTACACCTAGGCCATACACGGGGAGGGGGAGAGGAAAGGATTTATTTGAAGAAAAATAAAAGCATTTGAGGATTGGTTTTCACATTACTTCATGCATAATTATTTATCACTTCCCATCCCGTCCTTAATATTATAGGAAGAAAGTATTTTAATTCCTTCGTACATAATGAAAATCATTAGATTGGATTTAGAAAAAAAGTGTTGCCGATGATTAGAGCTAAAGGAAAAATGCTATAATCTCCAGGGCTGCTTTATTCATAAAGGCTTGAGCGAACCATGGATAACTCAACCCTTCCAGCAAAACAAAAAAGAAAAAGCTTTGATCCATGAGACATTAGAAGAATGACATGACATCAAATATATACTGTAGATGGGACAACAAGTGGGTTCCACAGACTATGCCCATCGACATGACCCTTCCTCGGTTTCCCATTGCTTCATGCTTGTGCGGCCCTTTTATTTCGTTCTCTTGGACATCCGAATCATCATTTACGATGCTTCAATCCCTGGTGTTAAAAAGTACCTCCTACAAATGTCATATTATTAATATGGTACTCAACATTCTGGTTATGGAGGATTTAAAATGATGTTCCTGATTTCACGGGAAAATTCTGTGAATAATGCATTGACAATTCAGCTAACAGTGGCAGAAGATGAGTGCTTTCTGTTGGGTACAAGTTCATTGAAAAGCGGAGATTAAACAATGTAAACGTCTCTGAACGATATCCTGTATCTAAACCTTCCGCTCCACCAGACAAGACGGAATGCAGATGGACTCGGGAGGGAGAGGAATACGCAGGGACTCGGAACGTGACATTTTCTGGGCGTCCATGTCAGCCTTGGAGCCTCGCTAGGTTACCCGAAACCACATGGCTGAGATTCCCAGAGGACGTGAGGAATAAGGATCACAACTTCTGTCGCAATCCAGGAAGATTTGAGCTGCCCTCCTGTTATGTGGGAAACGATCAATTCGAAGCCTGTGACATCCCTTTTTGCCCTTTCCACTTCCTCCACTGAAGGGACCTCTTCAGTGAAGAAAACACCGAGAGAATGAGAGTGTTTTAGTGTTTTGGAACTGTGGGGTGTTTTCAGCATTTCTCATTAGACATAGGTATTTCTGCAATTAGAACTTCTATTTTAGCAAGCCTATTTTGCGCTACAGATAACTCCACTCTTTCTTCGGCGTTCATTTACTCCAATTTGATTTTCATGATCTTAACCACCGATCGCGATTCCTTTTTGATTCTTCTTTCATAAGGTCCTAGTTTTACTTGTGTGATATAAGGACGTTGCTGCAACAGGCCCAACTCGACGCTACACCCCTGCAGCAGATATCTGTAATCTTCCATGGGGTTAGGATCTGCTCGATGGACCTCATGGAAGAATGGGATACACGCGTATCCCCCATTCCTGCGGAAGCAAAACATCCTCAAGCGGAGACCCAACAACTGGGGAGGAGAAGGAGGAGTGGAGGAGAAGGGTCCTGGAAGGCAGCGGGTGCAGTGCTGGGTGGGTTGAGAGAGAGCGGAGGAAGCGGGGGACACTACGTGTAAATTGTATGAGGATCTAGCGACAGGTTTTTATCCCTTTGGTGTTCTCTGCTATTTTCCCTGTGAAGTGCATTGTGTGTGTAAATTGTAATTGATCGCCCAATCGGGATCGTTAATTAGTAAAAACTTTTTTTTTTTAAGTCACCACGGGGTTTACTTGCTGAGTGTGCCGTGCCGAACCCTCGACTGAAAACAATCCTCGCCACGCGCTAAGAACATAAACTCCCACACGCAACTCTTGTTTGTCGCGAAATGTGGAACTTTGGAATAGACTCCAATTTTCGATAAGTATGGGAAGAAAACTCCATAAATTACGCTCGCCAATGGTGAATCTTCATTCCCTTCCACAAGCCAGAACAGGAACAGTGACACGGGGAAGAATACCGTGTACCTAGCTCTAGATACAGAGGGAATTACTAAATCCATGCAGCTAAAGTTCTGCAAACAATTTCCGAAGACAGTGCAACCGCTCAAATCTCTAACGATTACAATGAAGTACGGATATGCTTAGAAAACTTCATTGAGCATATCCTTGGAATAAATCAAAATAAATTTCCATGTACGAAACTTGAAGATGCCGATTAAGCAAGAGAAAAGGGTACCAGACTCAAATAGCGCCATTAGTAGGTTTCTCATGGATATGAGGCCAGGGAGAAGAGGGGGGGTAGAAGTAAATCCATTCCTCAGAGGCACGTTCAGACTGAAAAGGGTGGGAACGTGAATGCTAGTGCCAGGCACGTCTTGGCACGTGAGAGGGGAGAAGAGGAAATGAAGAGGTAGACTCGGTGAAAACGCACAAGCGTTTCATGGACCTTTGTCGTCCGCTGGCCATTTTAGGCACAATCACAGGAATTAGTACCATTGCTCAGTAACCAGTTCACCACGAAAGGTGATTTAGGTGTCATCTGAATCGTAGGTCATTCCATCACACCCTATGTAATTTCTAAAAGAAGCCTCCTTCTATAAACAGGGAATTGAAAATTTGATTTAAAAAAAAAGATGGGAACTGTCCTTGATAATGATGGGAATTAGATAATTGATTGAAACTTAAAAAAAAAAGTTATTGTTAAAATAAATGTTTGTGATTAATAGAAAAAACTACATTACTTTCCGGTCACCCTGATACAACCCATCCCTAAGAAAGGTTTTCGTTCGGTGTAGAGAACTTTTAATGAGTTTCAGATTTAGAAATATATTTTTATTGCACAGTTTCAGTTTTATTGCACAAGATGAAACATTTAAATTTGGGTAACAGAAAATAGAATTTTGAAAAAGATTTGAAGGAGCTTCTGAAGAAGGTTAAAAAAGAAAGTGCAAAAGCTGGCTTGTTGTTCAACGTTAAAAAGACCAAGATAATGTCAACTGGCTGTATCACTCAAGTGAAGATAGATGAGGAAGAAGTTGAAGTTGTTAAAGATTTCGTATTCTTGGGGTC